AGAGGAAATAAGTCTAGAACCACCCATTTCATCATAGAGCCAGGCACTGTCAGTCTTCTGAGCCATCATTATTCTTCCTTGTGATCATAAGACAACTGGATTTATATCAACATTGCATCTTCCCTCTAATTCCTAAGTGGAAAGAACCAGTGCATTTGTTCTCTCCCCCCCCCCCCCCCAGGAGCTTTGACCTATATCTCATTAGCCAAAACTGTGTCATGTGGCCACATTTGGCTGCAAAGAGGTCTGGAAAGCTAAACCATATTATCTTATTTACTAATTTCCATATTAAAAGGATTAAACTATGGTTGGAAATGCATGGTGAATGAGCCAAACTATATTTTGTATCTGACAGAAACAGATCATTTCAAAGCAAAATGGCCATCTATTACATAGTTATACATAGAAGTATAGCTTAGTTTGGGAACCAGAATCACTGAAATTTCATCTAACAATCAATGATTTATTAGATGGACAAAAACATTCCAGGTACAAGGGGGGTAAGTAACAGCCAAGTATGAACGGCCTTTCATGTAACAGCAAGTTAACAGCCAGGTATGAAGAAACAAAATTAGCAGCAGAGAAACCTGGGGGTTAGAGGTTGGAATCTAGCATGTATGTGAGAGAGCTAGCAAGAGGTCATGAAGACCCTACTCTACTGACTCTAATTCAGCAACATGTAACAGAAAAAGGTTGCTGGTTGCCTAGAGGAAAATGTCATCAACAGAGACGCTAATTTTCTCTAAAAGGTACTAGAAAGAATTTTTTTTTTCCTCATTAGGACCTTAAATGGTATAAAGTACCTGGGAATATCCAGTCAGTTTTCATGTTCTGTTCCTCTGCTTGCATTTGAACATTTTCCCTTTATTTAGTTCAATACCCAAGACACAAGATGGGCAGAGTGTGGATAGTTATGATTTTATTAACATCTCTGCCAAAAACTTGAGTTACTGAAGTATAGATCTGTGCTGTCTATAGTCAGTTAACATGGGATTACAGGATTAACAAAATTTAGTTTCATTTATCCACTGAAATTCATTACAGTTGGGCAAAGATAAATAAAAGGCTGCTACTGGACTAGGTATTTGCTTCAGGACGCTTTTTTTTTTTTTTAAGATTTATTTATGCACACAGAACTGAGGTATAGGCCGGCGATGAAAGGATTCACCAGAGACAGAATGGGGAGCAGAACAGGCCAATTGACAGAAGTACACTGCTGAGGGGAGTGGGTCAGGAGAGGTCTGCAGTGCCATGTGAATCACCTCCAGGACAGGGATGGAACTTATATTGAAATGGCTTTAGCTTCTTAGTGCTGTGCTTTAACCTGCTGGGTTAAAGGCCAGGTAGGGCCCTGCTTCAGGACTCTTTACAATTAAAAAAAATAATAATTTAGACTATGGTACACAGATTTCTCTGTACACTTATATCTGTGTGAATTAGTTTCCTGGGGCTGCTGTCACAAACTATGTCAAACTGACTTAAATCAACATAAATTTCTTCTCAGTCTGGAGGCTAACAAATTCCTTAGAAGACTCTAAGAAAGGACTCCTCTCCAGTTCCCTCCTGCTCCCTCCCTCCTGCTCCCTCCCTCTCTCCTGCTCCCTATGGCCACAGGCAATCCTTAACAAGTAGAAGCGCTTATCTCTTATCAGCATTTTCACTTTTTTTTTTCTTTCTCAGTCTGTAGTCTTTTCAAGAGAACGTCAGTGATTGGATTTAGGTTCCACCCTACATCCAGGATGTTACCTCCAGATCCTTAACTAATTGCACCTGCAAATAAGGTCACATTCCCACATTTTGGGTAAATATGAATTTGGTGGTGGTGTTGGGGGAACGATTCATTTCACTATATTATAAACAATATAATTTATATTATAAACAATATAATTTCTGACACAATGATTTCTTTAAAACTAATTCAAATATAGCTTGTTAAAATTAGAGTAATTCTGGGAAAAACTTTAAAATTGTTTAATCTTCAAAAGTAAATCTAAGTAAGAAAAAAACAATTCCTAGAATTGAGTCCCCCCTTTATTATCTAAAACTAAGTAGGAAAATAACATTTGACAGAAACAGTAATGATAGATTGGTGCTGTTATTTATAATTTATTACTTATAAAAATAACTTCAGCTTTCTCATCATGACAATTCAATAAATCTAGAAGGCAGAAACCTTGACTTATAATTTTTACTAAGGAAGTCTTTTTTTACCCCTAAATCAAAAATATTTTAAGCACTTATGATCATATTTAAAAATTTAGGTGGGGCCCTCCCTGGTGGCCCAAGGGGTTAAAAGCTCTACATTGTGAAGCTCTCCACAGCTACTGCAGTATGAGTTTGATCCTCTGCCAGGGCAGTGACCCACATGGCGCAGACCTTTCCTGTCTTGACCGCTGCTCCCCTCAGCAGTGTATTTCAGCACATCTGCCTGTTCTGCTCCCCACTCTGTCTCTGGCAAATCCTCTCTCACACCCTCTCCCCACCTCTGGCCTGTATCCCACTTCCTTTATGCATCAATAAAAAATAAGTCTTGGGCCCTCCCTGGTGGCACAGCGGGTAACAGCACTAAGAAGCTAAAGCCACTTCAGCATGAGTTTGATCCCCCACCCTGGAGATGATCCGCATGGCACGGCAGACCTCTCCTAACCCTCCGGCTGCGCCCCTCAGCAGTATATTTCCATCAGTCGGCCTGTTCTGCTCCCCACTCTCTCTGGTGAATCCTCTCACTGCCCCTGCACCTCTGGCCTGTACCTGTTTTGTACCCAAAAATAAATTTTTTTTTAAAAAGTCTTAAAAAAGAAAAATTTAGGTGAACTTTATAATCACCCTCAAAATGTACAGTGAGATTTTTGTGGTCAATTATCAACCACTTGAAATAATATCCCATGACAGTATACCTGCAAATAATTCAAATCCTAAATGATACATATAATAAATGTCCAGGAAATTTTATATTATCAAGTTACAAGATGATGACAGTAGAGTACCCATTTTCTAAGCTAGAAGAACATAACTCACTTCATATAATTTATAACCCAGGGGAAATTTTTTCTACATGAAAGAAATTTATTGTACATGGTCAGAAATTTTCTGATGTACCAAGATTGCACATGGAAGAAAACTGCTATTTTTATTTTTCATCTAAAACAGGAAGTAGATTCAAGTGTAGAAATCTGAAGTCAGACAATTCCTTTGGCAGAAAACATTTAATTATAAACAGGTTTTAAAATAAATATAATCCATACTCATGGCAAAGAAAGGATAACAACTCTGGCATTTCATGACACTAAAATGTCCCAGTAGATTTAATTACAGTTTTTATACTACTAGCAAATTGAAACACAAATTTATTACAGTATGACAAAAATAATTTTTAAGAGGAAGAAACTTCTGGATGTATAAAATTGTACAGATTAATGCCAATATATACTGTTTATATACATGGCAAATCTTGTATTAGTCCAAGATTACATTAGACAAACATAATTGGCTGATTCCAATTTAGTGGGTATGCAGTATTTATACTGGTTCAAAGTCTTATGCAGAATTAAGCTCCTACAATTCAGATGATAATTATATGTAAAATATCTATACAAACATTAACATAACTGTATTATATGTTGCTGTGAGAAAAAGATGTAAGATTTTTCCATATTAACTATTATAAGAGCAGCTTTGTAAATGTTCCATTTTGTTTTCTTTGAAGAAGAGTTCCCCCAAAAGTAAGGTGCCGTGTTAGAATTTTTTAAGTATATAACTGAATTCACATAGAAGGAAAATACTTAATGAAAAACAACGTAAGACATTCAAGGTTGAATCTTCCTTTCCAGTTATTTGCATCTGACGTAAGATAATGATATAAATAAGGCTTTGAAGTGCTGCCTGCTTTTCTTTTAAATGTAGATTAAATGTATATAGACTTTTGTATTAGGATATAGTTTCTTTGAAAAAGGATTATACTTAGAATCAAATTTCTATAAATTGATCTGACAAAAATTTCCAGAGCACGTTCTTCAAAAATTCTGAGTAGAAAGATTAGGGATTTCTTTTAAAAAAACAATATAGAACCTTCATGCAAGAAATCTGTATCTACTTTTTCCAAGTCTAAATATGTATGTGTGAATTTATGTTTTTGTATTTCTACTTGGTGCTATAAAAGTTGGTAGATGAGTCAGTGTGCAAATTTTTAGGAAACAATCACTGGTTTACTACCTAACTCCTAAAGTATGTGGGAATCTATTAGTACTATATACTAATTTAAAATGTAGGCTTGTTTCAGAAAATACTATCTAGATGACTTCCTATAATTCATTGCCTTCTACTGATCCACTGCCTGCTATTACTCCACAGATTCAGAACTACTTCTGCAAGCAATGTCCAAATATGTCAATAGTGTGGCTAAGCAATAGTATCCTAATCACCTCATTAAATAACAACACATCAGTAAAAATGCTTCTCATCAACACTTGGTATGCATCACATTAAATTATTAAGAATGTCACATGGTTCACATTTACATGTAATCTGAACAAAAGATTTTTTTCTGCACACCAATGAATGGAACATATCTATATTAGATGACCAAAGTTACTTGAAAAGGTCATTAGTGGTATTTCTAAATACCAGGGGCCCTTGTAGGAAAAGAATTGTTTTTCTCCGGGGAAAGAAAATATTTTGTGGGGCATCTTTTATTCCACTGTTTGCATGACTGGGGACAAGCTAAGGGTTTTCTCATACATCTGCAAAAACATGGTCTTTGCTGTTAATAACAGAAAACAATTTTGTTCTTTGCAAATTGTTCTTGCGGCTGTAGACAAATATACGTTAATTACTACTCAACATAACACTGAGAGCAAAGCTGACAGTACTGCAAACACAACTGCAATTTAAGGAGCCAAAAGGAAATATGTTGGCAAGCTAAATGTTAACACAAAAAGATGTTCGCCTTTTAAAGTAAAAATGTGGAATTCTGAAAAAAAAAAAAAAACAGGCAAAAAATATTTAAACATGTCAGGGCTCTTCCAATTAATTCATTTTCATGGTAAACGGTGGTTTCTTTAAAGTAAAATTTGAATACTTCTATTTCATGCTGTTTAGTGTCATATTTTACTTACTGGGTGTCAAGATTGTGTAGAGATAATGAAAGTAAGACAAAAGTGGAAGCAACTTATAGCTGCTTATTATCAAAAGTTTGACTTCACAAATTGGACTGGAAAAAAAAGAACCTTTTACGTCCAAATAGAGTAAGATAAGTTATGTGCTTTATTAACAGTCCTTTTGAGTTGAGAAAATTTTTTTCTTTTAGTATTTTCAGATTAGAATCACAAGGTTTGTGTGATACACTTATGAGAAGGCTTTCAGGAAAATGCTTGGTTTATTTCTAAAGGAGAGGCTGCTGATGGTAAGTTGTTTGTTGCTGTGCAACTGAATGAGCTGAAACTGCCACCGGAAAGCCTGCCAGCTGTGGCAAACTGGAAGTAGTGTTCTGGTAAGATGACATATCCACAGACATCCCCATCTGCTGTGCATAAGCAGCTCCTCCAGTAGCTGATTGAAGGTTAGAGTTCTGATTAATGTAAGTAGGATTGGAAACAGTGTCTTGTCCAGTGCTACAAACAAAATTTAGGAAGAAAAATATATTTACTTTGCAATATTTAGATTTGGTCAGAGAGCAAACATGAGAAAATAAATTGCATCTTTTATCTCTTCAATCTTCAATAGTCCCATCCTTCTGCCTATGTTTTAATCATCAATCTATTTACCACTGGTCATACAATTTTTATATCTGGTAAGAAGCAAATACTCAAAAGGAAAGAAAATGTTAAGACTACACAGCTTATTTAATTTGTTTTCTACAAAATGTCTGATAGCAGTATCCTTAGCCAACTACAAGAATGGACCTCCAGCTGATGTATACCTTCAGTTCACATTTTCCCTCCCACATCTTTTATTACAGCACACAGAGTAGACTACCACCTGCCTCAGACCCTCCTTATCTCTCCCTTTAGCGGAGAACTTTTAAACATGCCACATAGTATAATCTTAACCCCTACATAAAATACTAAGGGCAGGGAAATGGTGTAATGTACACAGAACTCTGAATCTACCTTCAAGATAGTCTGACTTATATTTTCTTTAACATTAAACTAAACAAAACGAAGTTAAAAAAAATCACACCAAATTTCAAGTTCTGTTTGTTCCCATAATTACAACATATATTTCTTTTAATGTGTATGCAGCTTTAAATTATATCAAATAACCTGCTTATGTGAGAATTAATGCCATAATTCTAGTGTCACCTGATAACAAGATTTTACATTTTAGTTGAACTAAATACCAATATGAATAGATTAATTTTCAGGTATCTAAAATATACTTGAAGAATTTAAGTGTAGGAAAAGACTACAGAGATAACCTACATATTAACTACCTATAGTGAATGAGCATTTCATGTGGTAAAACAAAGTTAAAAAGAAGGCAAGATCTAAATATAATTTTTCAGAACACAAGTGTCCGTATGTTATCAGGCCACATATTCCACAACTTAAACATACTTATCTTTCGGAGTCCAAATAACAAGGTTTTCTTAATTTGGGGGGGCATGTAAGTATGGCTGGGAATTTTGCTAGGCTGATTTCAAAACAATTCTAAGCACACACTGAAGAAGAGGTGGCTTTACTTTGTTCTAGGAATCCATATTTAAGCCTCAATCTGGGTAACCATCTCAGTAATGCTGGCAAAGCTAAAAGTTAACACCTTTCTGAGATTATGAATGGGCACAATTCTAGATCTCATCTCAGTAGTAAATGATGGCATTATTATCACAAAGAGATGGGTTTATATATTCTCATTCTATGCAAATGTATATAAGCATAAAATTAATAGTGCCCAAAAACTTACCTTAAATATGGAGTTTGAACAGGCTGTGTTGGCAATGAGGAATTCATATTTGGAGGCAAAGATCTCAGTGGACCTATGTGATCTGGTCCTAGACTGTAGCTTTGGGCAACACTGACTTGGTGAATGCTTTGATCCATATAATTTCCACCATGTGGTTGAACTGGGTATGTCTGTTAACCCAGGAGAAAAAGTTTACTCACTCATCTCCCAAACATCTGCTTAATAATATATTTAAAAACTTAAAAAGACTTAAAGGAGACAAAACATCACACATTTCTTTGGGGAGCAATTTGATTCTATCAATCCATCCATCCTAGGATTTAAAGTGGAGAACTGCCAAATCTATGGAAATTAACGATTTACTTGACTGTTCTTTCATTTCACCAGGGTCTGGGAGGAAGAGGTGTGCTTTTAACTAACTGGTTAGAATCCATCCAGGTTTCCTATTATTTCACATATCTAACTGTGGAGCCACAGAAGTCTATACACTTTCTAGAAGGATAGCCCAGTCCATTAATTCAAGTGACCATTAGAACTGTGACCTCCACCATAACAGGATGACTCACTCAATTGCTTCCTAAGAATTAACTTATGAGAGTAAGTTGAAAAATGAATGTCTTTAGGACAAGGTACAGGCCTTCAATGACAATATCACTTATTTCTTGTCATTAGGACTAAAGGAAATAACTGTGGGTAAAGAAAAATATATTTTTAGGAATTAACCTATCGAAAGTTCAAGGTAACCCCTCTTTAAAGAGAGCATTCACAGTAACATATGGTAAGTCCTCACTTAACATCATTCATAGTTTCTTGGAAACAGCAACTTTTAGCAAATTTGTATAATTAAAGCAGGTCCTTGAATAATATCATTTTGTTTAATATTGGTGAGGATTTTTTCTTATCAATAACAGAATGATTCTATCTGAGGACCTGCTGTATGGTTAATAAATATCATGTAGTAAGTATAATCATTCTAGTATTACACTGCTTTTTTTTTAAAAATGATTTACTTTCATTTATTTGTGCATACAAGAACTGGGATGTAGACCAGAGGTACAAGGGGTAAGAGAATTCACCAGAGAAAAAGTGGGGAGCAGAACAAGGGGAGCTAATGAATACACTGCCCAGTGGAGCAGAGAGTGAGACAGTAATGGTCTGCTGCACCGTCAGTCAGCTCCCTGGCCTGGGATCAAATCTTGCCTGAGTTGGTAGTTGGTGATAGTTTAATAGCACTGAGACTTTATCCCATGTGCCACCAAGGAGGCCCTACATTGGATTACTTTTTTTTTTTTAATTTATTTATGCATACAAGAGCTGGGTGTATGCCCAAGATGAGGGGGGTGAGAGGATTCACCAGAGACAAACTGGGGAGGCAGAATAGGCAGATGTACTGAAATACACTGCTGAAGGGAGCAGCAGGTCAGACAGGAGAGGTCTGTTGGGCTACATGGGTCACCTCCCTGGCTAGGGATCAAACTCGTGTGGCAGTGGCTGCAGATAGCTTCATAGTTCTAGGTCTTTACCCCCTGCACCAACAGGGAGGCCCTAAACTGTTTTTAAAGCAAGACAACGTACATAAAAATTTGGAATCCTAGAAATGCTAAATTAACTATGTGAAGTACAATCTTATGATATCCTTGGCAGACACGTAACCACCCTGGGAATGACATTCACTTCAGACTGTGTATGTGAACCTCTTGAACGTTAGGATTCCTGCGTATGACTTCAACTTTTCCAGTAGAGTAGGAACTTCCAAGTATTTCAAATGGTATTATATGTTAATAGTTTAGAAGTTATGTGGAGAATTAAACCAAGTTAGAGAACTTTTTGAAGAAATGAGTTGTATGTTTAAGCAAACACAAATTTTAAGTAGGATGCAACTAAACACAAAAACCTGAAATAGGAATGACAAATAGCCCTTAACAAACAGAGCAGCAAATACACAGTTCTATCACACAATGGTGCATTTTAATTTTGCTCCAACTACACAGTCGCAGCAAGTAATTCCTTATAAAAAGAAGCAATACTAAATAAACTCCAGCTGTCTTTTGCACCCAGAAATCCTTTTTACCTTCACATGTAATGACTTTCATCATTTCCAAAAGTTCAGGTCATGGCATATTTGATAAATGCATCTTGTTTGATGTGACAGTTACCATAGAAACTATTCTTTTTTAACTTAACAATTATGTTGTGTCAAATCATCTAGATTATGCACCCACATTCTATCTTTTCCCCTTGGTGTCTCCTTCACACACTCCTTTACATACCAGTTTTCATAAATTAACATGAATTTTGTTCATCCAAACTCATTCTGAATTTGATTGCTAAGTGAGATTTTAAAAAAGACTTTCAGAATACTGAGTACTGATAAACATTAAGTATTCACCTCAACTGTGAAGCACAGAAAAGGTGTCAAATCCTGGAAAAGATCCTGTTCATAGAAGACTAACAGAACATATCCTGTAGGCCTGTATCATATCCTTGCCATGCATGAACTTTTAAGTCATGCTACTAAGAAAAGAAAATATAAAGCATGATCTGAGAATGAAAGAAGTTCATTATATAAGTCTTTTAGTAGTCATATAAGTCAAAGACAGAAAATTTGAAAGATATGTCAACTCCCAGGTGCAAGGGGTTAAAACACAGCTCTGTGAAACAGACCTCTCCTGTCTTGCCTGCTGCTTTCCCCCTCAGCAGCGTGCCTCAGTTGACCTGCCTGTTCTGCTTCCAGCTCTGTCTCTAGTCAATACTCTCATTCCCCGCATCCCAGTTCTTGTATGCATAAATAAATAAATCTTAAAAAAAAAAGAAAGAAATGTTAACTTCTGCTTGTTGAGCAGGAGGAGCCTCATCTTCAGGGGTTCTGACATATAAGATATTGTCCTAAATCAAAGGACATAGAAAAATTATGCTTTTGACCTAAAAAATTATAGGAAGAACTGGAAAAATTAAACTGTGTATATATATCTATTTAGTTCTAGTGAACATCAATGATTCTTTGACTATCAAATAAATTTTATAATTTTCTTTACTTGTTATATAAACACTTTAATGTACTGCATTGAATACAATGTCTTTTTTTGTTTGTTTGAAAAAAAGTTCTCAAAGACATGCTCACCTGCATTGGAATCCCATGTGATGGATGAGGGTAATGTGTTGGAGGGTGAAGTTTTGAATAGGCCGAATATAGTGGTGCTTCATTTACCAATTTGTTGTATAGTTCAAGAGCTTCTAAGACTTTTACATTCAATTCAGACAATTCTGAATGCTTTCTGATACAGAAGAAAAACACTTTAATGCTCTGTAAAGGTTTTATGCATATATTAAGCAATATAATTTTTTTACATCATTTTGTATATATTTTTTTCCATCTCAATTGTAATCCCCGCGGGTTTTCCATCACCAAGTACCCGTGTGCCATCACAACAATATAAATTTTTTAACTAGCCCATTTTCTATTCCTGTTTTTAAAAGTTCTTTATATATACTGAATGAATATTCACAAAGGGAAAATGGAAGGAAGAATTACTGAATTCTTGTAATGACTAGGCTAACAAGACTTCATAATATTAGGGAAGAACTTTCACATCCCTTAAAATACAATCAATTTACAATTCTATCTATAAGAATTTTGCTTCATTTTAGAGATTTCTGTTGAAAATTCAATTTAAAAGAAAAATAATTTCTGAATTTAGAGGAGTCCCACCTTTAAGTATCCCAGAAGAAAGTACTCAAGCAAGAGCTAGAACCAGCTAGAATATGATAGCTGAATTAAAAATACAAACACACACACGAGTTTCTTCATTTGCTTATAGTCATAAAAGGATCAACTAAAAATAAATTATCCTTGAAAATGTAAATAAAGCAGCACATATGTAAAAGTAGTCTACACTGCTCTTGCTTAAGTTTCTTTTGAGAAAATGAGTGAAGCTACTTTATTGTGCAACAACAAATCCAAATATAAACATTTTCAAATTTACCCAAGGAAGTCTATGACTTGATACAATTTAACTGTTGCCTGGGAGTAATAAAGAACTTGCTCTGCAACTGACAAACAATTGGGTTGTCAGAAAAGTCTTGACATTATTTATTATTTTTTTTTTTTGCAAAAATGTATCAAGACTTTTCTGACAACCCAAGTAATATAAGTCAAATGGTCATTTTATCTGGCTTAAAGCACCCGGCCCCTGCTTATTGTATGTAGTTTTTCACTTAGAGAAAGGAAAAAGAGGCACAGGAATACCAAATAAATAATGGGAACTGAATCTAAGCAAAACTTGTCACCTTTCCACTACTTGAATCTGCTATCATGAAACAACATCCATTTCCTCTCAATTTGAGACTGTATAAAGCATGTCAAACTATTTTCAGAAGTATCAGCTGTACACCACACAGGAGGCTTCAGGAATTTGTGTCTGTGCTAACAAATGTGTGACTTAAGAAATAACAATAACAATCTGGTCCACATAACCCAATATACTGATGAATATCAGTACTCAGTAGAAAGGCATGATAACCGAGTCTGAAACCACCTTTAAAGAGCTGAGACATAATTCTGTAACAATAAAATATTTTTACTGAATTGTGTCCAACTCTACAATGAGAGAAAAAATTAAGGTGTGGATCTCTTCTTCAAAGACACTATAACCTGTGAGAGAAAGCATAGAACATGAAAAAATAGCAAGTGATGTGATATATAATTGAAACCAAAATTATATTAAATAGGTGAGGAATAGAAGAGTTTAAAGATTAATCTGGCAAGTAGCTAACTTTTGGAGAACTTATGCGGGTACCTAAGGAAGGATGAAGACCAAAAAAGGAAGAATAAGGTCAGTGGGACAGTGTGAATTCAGACAGGCAAAAGCAACAAGCAAGGGGCACTGAGAAAGAAAAGAGCAACTTGACTGAAGTACTAGAAAGTGATTTTTTAGAGAATAATAGCTAATAAAAATTAGAACAGCCTGGAACACAGTTAAGTTCAGAGTTGGATTTCTCATCAACACATCTATTTATATTTTGGGGGAGTCAATTTACATATTTATCTAATATAATTTCTTAGTGTAATAAAAGCTACAAAACTACATCTGTAGAATGACACAAATAAAATGTAAATTATAATTTTGTGATAATTTTGTAAAAAACAGTAAAGCTGTTTTTCTTATTAGAAAAAACAAACTGATGATGATCCATTTAATATCATTAAGTAATGATATTTTTATTGGTCTCTCAATACTCAAGTATAAATAGTCAATAAAAATTTGCTGAAGAACAGTAAGCATCTCTAGAATAGGAGCTGCATCTTCAGTCAATGGTCATGGACCAGAAAAGCCAGTTAGTCTATAAAACAGTAAATTCTGAAAGAGAACTGGTTAACAAGTGAATTCCTGCTCAAAAGTTTAACTCATATCAGAAAGTCACTCGAATTTGTAACTGTTCTAGACCTTTACTTTTGAAGATAATCTTTTTATTAACCAAATGTTCTGCTTTTTTCTTCACTATGGTATCTTACCAGGCCCACAGATATTTATCTGTTATACTTCTTTTAAAAAACAATCTCACCGGACCTCCCTGGTGGAGCAACGAGTTAAAGCACAGCAGTATGGGGCTAGAAGCAGCCACTTCATGAGTTCAATCCCCAGCCAGGGAGATGACCCACATGGCAAGGCAGACTTCTCCTAACCCACCTGCTGCTCCCCTCAGCAGTGTACTTCATCCATCTGCCTATTCTGCACCCCCTGGGATGGAATCCATGCTAAAGTAGTTTTAGCTTCTTAATACTATGCTTTAACCCACTGCAACACCAGGGAGGGCCAGAAATGTCTTTTTAAAGTTTTACAAACATTAAAAAAAGAAAGTTTTACAAATACTACTACTTTCTTCTCACATAACAAAACAAAGATCTTAACAAAGATTCCTGTTTTCATTTTGTGCTATATACTCTACTCAATTTCACTCTTTATCACTCATAATTTCCTCTTAGCCCAAGTTAAGAAAACAAAGACTGGCACTGTTAGAGCAAGGGTTCATAAGTCTATGTATAGTATACTCATTAAAAAAAAAAAAAAAAAAGCTACACCAATTGATGCTAATTTTTAACAGTTTTAGAAGAAACAATTTTAACAAAATGACCCATTCTGCAAAATCTCCCTAATTTAAAGTTCTGTCAAAACAAGTACACATTAAAAAACTATACTTGCTATTCCCTACAAGAAATAGCTCACCTATCAATCTCTTCAAGTTTTTCATCTATCATTGGACCCATTTGTTGGCAGACATCTGTAAATACAGAAAGAAAAAAAAAGATTTTTAAAAATCAAAACAATAAACCAGTTTAAATTAATAGCAAACATTTTTAATAGACCACCAATATGCAATACAATGAATAGTACGCGGGAAATTAAATGTATGCTAGAAAAGACCAATTTCAAAGGCAAATCAAATAAAAACAGAAATCCCACCATATTCCCTCGAAAAAGTAAGTTTAAAAACTGAAATCTTGAGTTACTCCAAAATACCTGGAGTATTTTGGGATAATCTGGAGTTATTGAATACTTAGAAAATTATCATTAAGTTACATAAACTGAGTTAGTATATAAATATATAAGTATATATAGAGTAGATACAGACATTTTTCATTAATTTAAGCCATTTCAAACTTTTTGTTATTTCCAAATATAAGCACTGATAGAATAATATACTATTTCATAGCCACACTTTCTTCTATAAAAAGATTCAAGACTTACTAATTTAGGACCTTCCTGTTGGTGCAGGGGTTAAAGTCTCAGTGTTACCAAGCTGTTGCCAGCCACTGCAGCAGGAGGTTGATCCCCAAAGAAAGGAAGCTAACCCACTTGGCACAACAGACCTCTCCTGTCTCTTGCCTTGCCCACTGCTCCCCTCAGCAATGTATATCAATAGATTTGCCTGTTCTGTTTCCCACACTTTCACTGGTGAATTCTTTTACCCTCCCTTCCCCCCCCACCTCTACACCTCTTACCTACACCCCAGTTCTTATATGCATAAAGATAAAAATGAATCTTTAAAAAAAAGGACATCTTTTTAATAAATAGATTTTTCTCCCAAAGTATTTTTATTAGGGTAACACTGGTTTACAACAATATATATTATTTAAGGGACTAAGCTAAAACCTCCTCAGATGAGTGTTAGCATGACACCCACTACCATCAAAAGAACTATCACAGTCCTTTACCACAGACCACTGGGGCCCTTTCATCCTTTGCTACCAACTCAACCTCTCCACTAGTAATCTCAACTCTACAATCATATTTCTAGGGTTTCTTTTGTTTTAATTGTCAGTTCAAAAGATTTTTTAAAAAGGCATAAAAATAATTGGTTTGTTTCAAATTTCTTGTATCATATGACTACATGACAAGGTCAAGACAGATCATGTACAATTATGAATAAAAATTTCTAACATTTTGAGTCAATTTAATATGCTGTTATTTCTAATTCTGTTGCCTTTGTATTACAAGTATTTTCAATATCACTAGAACACTTACAGAAATACAAAGAACGCCATTTTGAAAAGAACAGGCATGTTTACAAGCATTATGTTTACTACTCTGTTTCCCACCAAAAATTTCTAATCTCAAGAAACAAACATGGGCAGGAGAAATTTAAGAACTATAAATATTAAATGACATTAAAGTAATCCATAATATTTACTAAGTACCTTCTAAATCCAAGAGGTCTTGGGAGTCTGGTTTTAAATCTGTTGGATCTATACTTTGGAGCACCTGCAGGGTTCTATCCATCTTACCCTAAAAATGTAATAGGAAACTTTAATAACAAAGAGTTTAAATTTCAATGAATATAAAACTTACTCTTTCCAAGCATTCTCAAATATAATACATTTAAAAAATCTTAACTATTAAACAAAAGAAGAACTCTACCTCATCTATATAAACAGGTTCAGGCTCTGATTTCTTAACTTCCTCCACATCATCATCAATAACATTCAATTTGTCCACAGCTGCTATGGAAACAAAGTAAACTTTAAGTTCCTCAGCATTTACCCTGGTATACAGTCACTCGTTTACAAGCAGCCCATTATTATCCATAAGGAAAAAGTAGAAACCCTTTCAATAGTCATCACACATCAAAATCAATACATGTTATTACACATACATTCAATTATTCCACAAATACTTATTTAGCATATATTATGTGACAGGAGTTGTACACATTGGAAATGCATTGGAACTATGCACTGGCATAATATAAACAAGAATTCCTGCTTTGACAGGTTTTATGATTATAGTTAAAATGACACAAAACAAAAATAAACCTTTCATGAAGAGACTAAAAAATAATTTACTAATATGCATACCCAGAAAACTATTTAAATGTCTACTGGAACAGTTATAATATACTATACTTTTTTAAAGAAAATTTTGGTAAAAATAAAATTATAGGCCCTCCCTGATGGCGCAGCGGGTTAAAGCACAGCAGTAAGAAGCTTAAGCCACTTTTGCATGAATTCGATTCCCGCCTGCCCCAGAGGAGATCCACATGGCGAGGCAGACCTCTCCTGACCCGCCCACTGCTCCCCTCAGCAGTGTACTTCGTTGATCTGCCTGTTCTGCTCCCCGCTCTGTCTCTGGTGAAGTCTCTCACTGCCCCTGAGTCTCTGGCCTGTATCCCAGTTCTGTATGTACAAATAAATCTTTAAAAAAAAAATTAAATAAATAAAATAATAAAAATCTATGTACACAAAATAATTTTCAAGTCCTAACAGCTGCTTATATCAAATAATTGTCTAACTTCCAAATATGACTTAAGAAGCAGAGCTCATTATAATATGAGGATATATTGAAAACAGAGTATTTTTTACTTTTAAAACTATACATCAATCTCTCTAGCCTATACAAGAGGAAATTAATAGCTATATAGGTTCCCCTGAGCATAGTCTATCATGTTATTAAAAATGATTTATCCAATGTGTTTATCTAGTTAAGAGTTAGGCCAGAGAGTAAAAAATACAAATCATGGCAAAATTATTTAAGTGAGTATCCATCTCTCGTCATTGTAACTGAATCTGTCACTCTACTGACACAAAGATGAAGTTACATATGTTGCAGTTTAAGTTCTTACTCTAGAACTGGTAAGTCCCCTAGTGAGTCAATATAAGTACACTGGCTAACTTAGAATTTGGGTTTTATCACCTACTAGTCACAATCCTGAGTCTTAATTTGTCTGTAAAGCAAGGCAATAAAAATACCTATCTCACAGAGTCATGAAGATTAAATGAAATGTTCAAACATTGCTAGCTATTTTATTTTGGATCATCACCAACATTAGTAGTATCATCAGCTCCCTCTGTCCTTTCACATCCCTACCTACATTAACAGCAACTGAGGGAAACTAGGCAAAACTAAGTGCAGTTCTCAACTAAGCCAGGGACTTAGTGTCCTGACTACTGATTATTATTTTATCATAGTCCCAAGTTCACTAGGATCAAATCAAAGTGAACAAAGGTGTAGAACTTAAGAGTACTCCTAACCTTAAGAATCACAATCAAGCCATCAGTGAGGCCTCCCCACACTGCCTTCTCCCAAAATAAAACCAATATTCTCTGAACTAAAGAGACACAAACTGCCTCTCCTATAGTATGACTAGTTTGATGTAAATATTTTTAGTCAGAGAATATTTTATGTCTTACATATAACTATGCCATACATATAACTGTGTTTGTTAACTTGCAAAAGATTTAAAATATAACAAAGAAATAATTTTTGGAATTGGCCTGCAATAAATTAATCCCTTACTTTATTAAACAGGTTAAATTGTATTCCCTATAAATAAATTGTTTAGGACAAAAGTTAAATGCCAACTATTTTATATTCAAAACTGTGCAACAAATTTCAAGTGTATAAATTTTCCCTAAGATTAACTTACCTGCATCAGATTCTGTGTTTAAATTAGTTGTTACAAAATTAGATGGAAAGAGTCCTATTCCTCTATGATTTTCTCCTTTCCACCAATTAGCATCACTAGAAACATAATACAAAAATGTCATTTCTTTATCTGAATTCCAGAATTTTCTTTATCTGAATTAATGTCTATAGGTGTTAAAATGAAAATTAAATTCAGCCTAGAAACTAATAGCTCACACTCAACTTATATTAAAAGAAGTTCTTAAATAAAAGACATAAAAAACACAAACAGATATCCGTATTTCCATACTTAAATTTAAATTTAGAACCAATTAGCAATTAAGTCATATTTGTCCTAGGCTTTTAAAATAATAAAATCTTATAAATAATTAAGTTCCCATTACCCATAATCCCACAAAGCATCCTACCAAACCACAACCACCATAAATCCAGTATGCAACCCTCCTACCTGTGTCCTTACTTATAAACATCTATAGCCAACTCTGTAGGGATATATGTTAATCCTTACAGATACGTTAACACTTTTATGTTAATATTATCAAATCTTGCTTAACCTTTTTAAATGAAAGCTTCATCACATGAGTAAAGCATTTTTGATTTAACCATTCCCATCCATATGAACATTTAGGTTACTACCTCTATCACAATTTATAAACAAAAAGGTGGTTATCGCTAGGGCACACATTAATTCTGAATTATGGAGGTGTCTTTAGGTACATTTATTGATTTGGGAGGCCACAGGATACAAGCACTTTTTATCTTGCTAGAAAGTGCCAGTTTCCCAAAAGTGGTTGTGGCAATTCCCATCCTCCTCCTCTCAGCAGCATGTGAGAATAGTTGGTTAACTGGCCAACAACAACTGATATCAGACAGGAACTCATGGTTGAGCTCATATGTACTTCTGAGTGGGTTTGCATGTCATTCAGATTGTCTCTTCGGTGCACTGATCTTTTGTCCAATTTTCTTCTTCCATTGGATCATCTGTCCTTTTGCATGAATCTATTGTACTTTACACATTCTAGACAGCAATTGTTTTCAGAATTACACAAAAACCTTCTCTCAGACTGTCACTTTGTGTGTGTTTGTGTATTTAGTTTCTCTTCTTCCATGGTGGTTTTTGCTCCTTGTAATCAAAATTAGCAGTATTTTCTTTTATGACTTACGGTTTTTAAGGCTGAAATCTATATCCTTGACCTCCTAAGGATTTTATCATTTTCTTCATAAAAGCCTTATAAATTTTGTAAGGTATTTATTTCTAGATCATTTTCCATTTTTGTTACTACTGAGAATGTCACTTACATTTCTATTACATTTCTATTACATTTCTCAAATAGCTATGATTAAAGCCGTGATTTTTGTATACTGATCCTCTATCTAGCAACCTTAATGAACTCTTGTCAGTTTTAGTAGTTTGTTCTTTAGTCTCTTGGATTTTCTATCAAGACAATCACAGAATCTGGAAATGGTGATTTTATATATATCTTTTCAAACTTTTGATTTTCTAAGCAGGCATATTCAAAGGTAAATCTTAATGATAAATTAAACTTCCGAGATTCTGAAACATCATTTGATTTTAAAAGTACCACAAAGACACAAAAGCCGGGAAACAACTAATGTACTAACAGTTCTAAGGTATCATATTTGCTACCTATACAAATCAAGAAATTCTCTCTTACACATAGTCTAAGTTGAACTGCCCATTTTAAAAAAGTAAAGCTGAAATTTAGAAGAAGTTTTACTTAAAATCAGAGAACCCACACCTATAAAATACACACACTGATTTCATTTGAACCTATCAGCAATTTTATGTGTAGGCTTCCTTAATGGTTTTATTAATGTAAGATAATTTACCTAATGACTATTACAAACTCCTTGATAAAGCAGATAGTAGGCAAAACAATCAATTACAAGTCCAAAGCATGCAGACTCCTTTGCAGCCCTAACCCAGCTCTATATTCTGTTCGCTGGCAGTTGATTCCATAGAATTTTAACAGTAAAAATATTGTTCAATTTTAAATTGCTAAATTAAGGTAATTCAGCACTATCATTTTACACAAGCCATTTGAGAACTAAAGGAAATTTTAAATCAAATATTTTTATTTAGAATTTTTTATATTAAGTATATAAAATGATTGAGTAAAAAAATGATGTAAGGCAAGTGACATAAACTTTACCTTCATCAAACTGACCAACTAATATTTATGAAAACCTACCAGAGAGAAGATAGTGACATCAGGCCAAATACTGAAGTTACAAAGATAATTAAGTCAGTTTCTGGTCCTCAAGAAATTTAAAAATCTAATGCAGCATTGTTCAACCCTGACCTACAAAACTAAGAATATGTTACCTTGTTTTACCTTATGGGTTTTGTTTTCTCCTCCCCTTCCTCCCACCTACGGAAGTACTGACCCTCTTCACAATTAACTCATATAGTTGGAGAGACATATGTAAAGAATTATAATAGAGTATGAGAAATACTTTAACATATGTTCAGAGAACTATAGAAGCACAGAGAAGAAACTCTTAAAGTCTCCCAAAAGATAGGGTTTTTAAGCTTCTCAGAAGACCTAAAATCTGACAAAAGGATTAAAGGTTAAGGACTTTCTCAAAAATGTAAAAGGGAGAAGTAAATTAGAATGACATTTGCCCTGTTGTCATTATGGATGAGAAAATTAAAATTACAAAGAAACAAATATAAAAACCTTTGCTGAGATAGCAAATCTGAAAATCCTGGTAATCTTATGAGGCTCTTTTCCTTAAAAAGCTCATTTTAGTTTTCATTTGGGGGAGCCTTCTATTCTAAACCTAGACTCCCTTGCAAATTTTCCTTGCAAGTAATGTTCCTTTTCTTTTCTAAATGTGTTTTCCTCCTGTGACAGGGCTTTCTAGGCAGAGAGAACCAAATGTACAAAAGCCACAGAGGTCTAATCACAACATGACATTTTTGGAACGGCAAGAATTCCACTTAATTACTTGAAATGGAACATACAAAATAAAACAAGAATGGTGAAATAACATTAAAAATGTAGAGAGTAAAAAGCTTTTTAGATATATTCTGTTAATAAGACACGTGTACCTTTTCTATCAGCTCAGTGTTTCTGAAATTGAATGCAAGAATGATGTATTTTCATAGGATTTAAAGTTCTAAATGTGAAAATTTTTCATGTTGACATTTCCACAGCAACATGAAAAGAGTCTTATCATGGATCATCTAGATGATCATCTTTTAACCTAACATTGTCATTTAACTTTAGTAGCCAAGTTTGTAATTGTGTTTAAAATCCTGCCAATGATAATATTTAACCTATTATACATACTTTATGTATGTATATGGTGACTTTAAGACAGGTATATCCTACTATCAAAATGAAAGCTATCAATCTACATATATCATCATATTCATGTAGACATCCATTAATTACAGAGAAAAGGTTTTATTATGCAAATAGTTTTATATGAATTTAAGTAATTTAATGAATGTGCTTTAATTAGACATCAGTGAAAGAGACAGGTGTAAGTACATTAACATAATCCTTTTATTTGCTGCAATTCAGTAGCCTATAATAAGTACATAATGCCATGAAAACATCAAATGACGTCAAGGGATACTGAATTAGGATTCACCAGTTACAAAAACAAAAAAAGTCAGTGGAGGGCCCTCCCTGGTGGCGCAGCGGGTTAAAGCACAGCACTAAGAAGCTTAAGCCACTTCTGCATGAGTTCGATTCCTGCCTGCCCAGGAGGAGATCCACATGGCGAGGCAGACCTCTCCTGACCCGCCCACTGCTCCCCTCAGCAGTGTACTTCGTCGATCTGCCTGTTCTGCTCCCCACTCTGTCTCTGGTGAATCCTCTCACCCTTCGCATCTCTGGCCTGTACCCCAGTTCTATATGAATAAATAAAAATCTTAAAAAAAAAGAAAAAAAAGTCAGTGAAGAACTGAGTTATCACAGCACAAAGTGGTGCACACCTGCTGAAGATGAGTGAAGAAGTCCCTTGCCATTGATGAGCAGCATTTTGGGCAATTTTTAATTACAAAAAAATTTCAAAATTTGAATTTTAAAACAAAAACTAATCAGTTTGAAATGTTTCTATTTGCTTTACAATGTCTTTAATGTTATAGCTGCATAAGAATATCAGAAGTGTAACCTAAGTTCTTCTGTAAGTATTCCACTAAACACTCAAAAGGTTGTTGTTTTAGATTGTCAGTGTTCAGAGCCACACTTCCTCTTCACCTTGATTTTTATTTACTCTCTTCAGGGATTAGGTGCTCTACTCCAAATGATGATTTAAAAACAAAACAAAGCTTTAGTGGAAAAAGGTGATTATTTTCTAAGTGAATACAGTGTAATTTTTACTGTGTAAGAGCCTTATTTTTCCTAGTCTTGATTTCTTGCAAAATTTTTCCTGTTCTGTCAAAATCACAGTCCACCTGGAGTCAACCCCCCACTCACCCCTCTGGCCTGTACCCCAGTTCTATATGCATAAATTCTCTCCTGAACTCCAACATTACCAATTTTATGGTATTCACAATCTGCATTCCATACAGATTGGCGCTTTATCTAATGGCGCTTTTTAAAAAATTTTTTAAAAAAGATTTATTTATTTATGCATACAAAACTGGGGTACAGGCCAGAGGTGCAGGGGTAGTGAGAGGATTCACCAGAGACAGAGTGGGGAGCAGAAGAGGCCAACTGACGAAGTACACTGCTGAGGGGAGCAGCAGGCTGGTCAGGAGAGGGCTGCGAGCAATATGGATCACCTCCAGGGCAGGTGATCGAACTCATGCTGAAGTAGCGTTAGCTTCTTAGTGCCATGCTTTAACCTGCTGCGCCACCGGGGAGGGTCCTCTAATGGCTATTTGAATTCCCTACTTTATTGTAGGTTTTAATGAATTCTCTCCTCATTCATTTTTTGTTATACAGAAATCATCACATAATACTTTCTCACTGAACATTCACTGTAGCAAATTAAAAGCATTTTGTATATCTACTTATTTAAAAAAATTGCTAGACTATTATATATGCTTAATTAGTTATTTGTAATGGGTATCGGTATGTTTGCAATCTCTGTTCATAGCAACCAGAGGTTAGGTCTCACTCATGCTAAATTTCATCAACTTTGTTTAAAAGCAAAGCACAGAATTAGGTCTAAAAAGACCTATATTTAATTAAAACTTTAAATAATAGAAAAATAGTGAGGAAAAGTACAGAATTGGGGATGAGCCAAGAATAGCTTTCAGGTGCCCGGAACGAATGTAATTTAGCTATATTTATTCCTAAAGTTTTTCTCCTGTAATTTTAGTATACACAACTCCCAAGGTCAATTTCTTCAGATTACTGAATATTTACCTGTGTTTCCCAAATTTTCTAATCAAAGTATTAATTTATCTTCCATCAAAAATACAGAAAATACTTTCATATCAAATTTAACAAAGAATAAGAAACTCATAATAGCTAGGCTTTTACTTTAAATAAAATTAAGGTATGAAAAGGTTCTACTATAATTCAAATATACCAAAAACTGAATATCCAGTATTCTAAGTTAAAGTGATTGATTTTAATAATTTCAAAATATTACAGAAAGATTTAAAACATACCTGTCATCCAAAACAATAATAATTTCACCATGCTTAAAGGTGAGTTCATTGTCCTCAGCAGCTTCAAAATCATATAAAGCTCTTACTTTCCTTGTAACCTTATTATTTAGCTGAATTTCTGCAGATGGATATAAGGGCTTTGTTTCTGTGTGTTGCTGCTTCTGTTCTTGCAAAGACAATTCAATAGCTAGTTTGAAAAATTAAAATAAAAAAATTGATTTTTAAAAAGTTTAGGTAACATCTAATAAGAATTAATCAAGCAAGTACTTTATTTGCTCTGTTAAAAGCTAACCAGCTGACTGTCTTGGGGAGAGAAATAAGTGGAGCAGAGAATATCACGACATTTTTTTAAAATAAAGTTTGTGCTCACTCATTATTATCACAGTCTGTCATATACAGCAGCTATTATTTTTGTAGCAAACAGATTGTGACATTATAATATGGGTAGCTTTCCATATAGGACAAGGCGTGAGCATATTTCTGTGCTTGACTCACAACTCTGGCATTAAAGAAAAGGTGAAATGTAATTTCTATAAAGGTAGGGGATTAAATGCATACTATTAACATGGAGTATGAATTAAGTTACATCTTTTATCACATCAATTATTTACTTTTCACATTCTACTAGTTTTCATATTTGAGGAAAAATATTTAAAAGTATACCCAGTTTTCATATAAATTTTATTTCAATGAACCAGTATAAATGCCTTAACGCTAAATTACACCTTTGATCATTTACCTTTAGCTATGTCTTCATCTTCTTTGTTTTTGTTCAATGATGTACCATTCTTGGCTGCAGCTGAGACAGTAGTCTGTAAATGTATGATTAAAATGAACATAACTACTCTTTCAAAGAAAACACAAGCTCCATAATGACTTTCAATTTAAAAAAATTTTTGATATAATTAATGAGTTTTGTTTAAAAATGAAGTTCTTTATGATGACGTTAAGTAGTTATTTTCAAATACTTAAACATCAGAATTTTCAAGAAAATAAAAATTCACAAAAGGCATGAACTGGTTTATATTATGCATAAAATAGTATCCGACATAGTACCTGGCATGTAGAAAGTTAAAAATATGAATCTTTTCTGACTGTACCTTCTGCTGTCAACTGTTCAAGAGCTCTTACTCAATAAAAGGCACTAGGCTCTGTAGGTGCAGAGGTACATATGAAATGTCAGCAAGATGCACTGATAATTACCAAATAGGGAAGGACAACAGGTGCAGATGTTGTCCTCTTTTACTATTAATTATAGTTAGATGTTACTGGTTCTCAGCCATAAAAAGACCATGCTTATATATGGAAGACAGACATGATCAGGACTCTGAATAATCAACCAGTGTTTTGATAAATAATGCCAAAGGAAAGAGAGGAAAAGTGCTGTTCACAGCTATATACCAGAGACATTTTGTTGGGATGGAGTGAGGAATGCGATCAAAACAGTAGGAGGAGGGAAATGCACTGGACTATGGTGATGGCACATGGGTGATTTGGTGATGGGAAGCCCAAGGGGATTGCAACTGAGATGGAAAAAATATGATATGATATGATATGATAAAAAGTGCTGTTCACTATTTATAAAACTTTCACGCCAAAATTCTACCTTAAATGTTTAAAACTGGTCAGCTCTATTATTTTAGTCTCTTTAGTCTACAGTTTAAATTATTTTTTTTAAATGCACTATTCCTTTTTATCTTTTTTCCTAACACATATCTTAGTATTAATTGGAAGATATAAGAAGCACTGATAACAAAACCCAAGATAGTTTTCTCCTCCTACAGACTTAAATAATCAACACACCTTATGACTCTTGTCCCTACCTCCATTCTAGTTCTACTAAAGCTATCCCCTTACCTCCCCAAATAAATTTCTAGTCTTACATTTCTATCTACCATATATATAAGCCATTAATTGCAGGCACATTCACATTCTTCAGTAAAAAGGTACTGAGATTTCCTAATTCCATGAATTTGTTCATGTCATTCCTCCATCAATATGAGCTCTTATTCCTCTCTACCTATGAAATACATGTACAAAATTCTATCTTTTCTTTACCTCTCTCCTAACATTTGTCTTTGCATCTTCATCCATATTTGTCACTTATAATTTAATTACCCTTCAAAGTGCTATAAATTAATTGAACATAGGCCTTTTTCATATCTGCCTTCTGTGTGATTTTAGACTTAAGAGTAGCATTTAGCAAAATATTTATGGCTGATGTCACTTTCCAAAGTTCTTATACAAGAAATTCACTAAAAAATTAGAATGTCCATTAAATATAAGACATGATGCCACGTAGGTGCCTGGAGAGCAGAAATGGGAAATGAAGACATATCTTGCTTAACTTTTACATAAGAAACATAACCTTTAAAATAATAAAGGGTCAACCATGAGTCTGACCGAATTTCTCACCTGAGAACTTGCTGGAGGAAAAGTAATACCTTCTTCTTTCATTGATTTAATAGTTGCAGATATCAGACTAAATTGTGGATCCTTCTGAAATTCTTCTGACCACTCAACCATTAAAGATTTTAGTTTTTCACATACTTTAGGATGAGCCTTTTAAAGGGAAGACAAAAACAAACAAA